CATGCAGCCTATCAGAAGACCGCTAGGTTTTGGCAAGTGCTGAATACATATATTATACACATTGACAGTTCCATTTCGAGCGATACATGTGAGTTTGGAGCAAAGCAAGGAGCAACTACGAGTGAAGACAATTTTGGGTTTTATCTTACAACAAACAAGAAGTTCAAATGCACTGCAAATCCAGAATCAACAACCCAGTACTGGTTCGGTAGCTACGTATGAAGCAATGACTTCGATCTTTGATTTTCAGATATACCTAGCTTCCGTTTTTGTTTATATGACATAATAATTGAATCAAAAGAAATATTTTGATTACTTTTTATCAAGGTTGATCATGGGGTTTTGCAAGAAGTCGACCTGCAAAGCTCTTGGGTGTTTCGTTTAATAGAATGAGCATTGATCTTCCCACTAAGTAGCCGTATATGATTATCATTTTGATAATATCAAATTTTTATGTTAATTTTTTATTATATTAGATCATACCTGAATGCGATACTATTTCATTCCAAGTTGATTCAAATGTTGGTATTCTGGTGTGAACCAATGCTTTGTATGCACTTCCTCGCCTTTGTAGCTGTCTGTCTTTTTGATTGATGGCTAATGTCTATTATGTTGTTTGAATTGTCATTATTTCATTATAAAGTCTAGTTGTTTATGAGCAAATTGGAACTTGATCAGCTGAGAAATTTTCTGGATATTTCACAAAAATAAATTTTCGCAAATTTTGTATTCCAGAAAGTTTCGCGTATCAATCAACGCAAAAGCAAAAGTTTCTTCTCGTGAAAATTTCTTTCCCCGAAAGTTTCTTCCTTGAAAGTAGCAAGCAACAGACAAAGGCCTTCCCCGGCTTCCCTTCAAGTTCTTCTGTTCTCTGAAACCCTCTGAAAGGTGCATACTTAAAAGTGATATTGAAGTTTTTCTGTTTACTAGTTGTTAAATGAACAACGTGTCTCGAATAATAAAGTCTGGTACAGACTAAGGAATCTGTATCATTTTAAGTTCTCTCAATGATGTTTTAGTGTGAATAAGTTTGTTGGTCACTAGATTTCAAATTATAGCCAAGATACTAACCTAGACAAATGAAAAGATTACACATAAAGGAAAAGAGCATGCAGGCTGAATTTTTTATTATTTTCTTCGCTCAAATTCAGAATATTATATATATATTAGCTTTGCTTGAAAATATTGCAAAAAGTATTAGACTAGGATTGTTATTTTGAACTGTTATTAGAGTTTCTTAGAGTTACAAATAGAACCATTGTTTTGCTGTTATTGTGGAGAGTTTGGCTGCATAAATAGAATCCTTGATTTACATAGAGAACCAGAACCGTCAATAATTGTTTGGACTGAGCATATTTTAGCCTTTTCTAGCATTAGTTGGTGTGGCTCAAAAAGTTTATCTGCCACACCCAGAACCAAGACCTTTTGGTTTGCTAGCCACCCTGAAACTATGACGCTGAACCAAACTGAAATATAGCAGAATTAAATGCTGAACAGTAAACAATTAAAACTTTACATTTGAACAGTTACATAGATATTTTTCTTCGTTTGAAATTATCTGCAATCTCAGAATTCCCGAGAATAAATATTCGCAAGTTTTATTAATGATAATTATAATCGTTTGTGGACAATACCTGTATTTATTGCCACACCCATTTTGTCGGCAAACCCTCGAGTGAGCCCCAACCCAAAAATTCATTTAGCAATTAAGCCCCCTTGAGCTTTATTCGAGGATTTACGGTTTATGCGATAGAAGGACAGAGAAGTAGATTGTAAAAATGAATTTTGGGGTCAGTATGCAGCAGCAAACTTACACCTTGTCGGGCACAATGTTCGGAAACTTGACGTTTCAGGGACACTTTTTCTAACTCGTTGGAATAAAGATTGTTTTGGTGAATATTCAAAAGAATGGAATTTTCAGACATTTTGCTCATTGCACATGG